AACACATTGCCGTTATTACAATACTCTTCCATGTCACGTTTATTTACACAGTAAGTAGATCAAAAAGGTGTACAAAAGATTATAAAACAATTATAAATTTCCAAATTCATGTGAACACAAAAAACGTATCTTTCACGAAAATGGATCCTCGAATATTAACACGCCTATACTCATATATCGAAGATAATGTCAATAGAGCTAAGTTTTAAAAAGAAGTAGACCAACTTCAATCAAATTTTTAAAAAATCCAACTGCCGATTCTGTATTAATTCACATCTCCATTGCATTTAAACTATATCTGTTCATATTATGTTTTCAGGGTTTAGACATTGAATATTTCTACAGCTTTTCAAAATGGGCGTGTGTACGTGTACAGGTTTACCTCCACCTCATATTGCTGCAAGGCACTACGCAGACAATTCAGCTAAGAATACAGCTAAGAACTTCAACGTTCCGCATGAAGATAATCTGAAGAAGTCGGCGTTTGAGTTTAACAAGATATGAATGAACACTGACGACGTCAATTATTGCACAATTTAACGATTTAAGTACAGCTTAAATAGGGCTGACTACGACCTCAATCGACTCTCAGAATTTCCCTTAACTCATGGCTTCCTTCTAGTCTTTCAACACTAAATGGTGTTGAAAGACTAAGCTCCGCTGCTAGCATTACTATCTGCGTTCATTTACTTTATAGAAAAGAGGTTAACAAACTTTTTGCTGAGACTCAGATTTTATCGCCCGACAAACTATACGGAATCGTCTAAAAAGCGCAAGTTTAATTTTAATAATTATTTTGAAATTAATTTTTGAGTATTGAGTTGAGTACGAAACCCTAAAAGGTTTCTCTAGAAATGCAGTTTCGCAGAAAACAGTTTGGGAACGACTTGGGTAGACGAACGAAATTGGCACTGCTGGAAATAAGGCATAGTTTTTCTACACTCCATGAAATGCTGTCTTTCTTCGTGGAATTACTACCATACCTTCCCAAAACATTAGAAGGTATCTGGAAATTTCTTTACGTGTACAATTACAATGCAAATTGAAAATGTCACTGTAATTGAACGAAATTCAATGAAACTAGTAAAAGGAATACATTATAACTTTACATTACAGCTCCACTTCAATACAGTTTCGAGATCAGTAGTAGTACGATCCATTATTATCGAATGCATGGTAGCTGATTCACACTTGAAATATCAATATAACATTGCAATCAAATATTGTTCGAACATCATGATTTCACTCTTTACGTTCTTCCTCTTTCTCGAACACATCACGTTTTTAGAAAGTATAAAAAATATGGGATGGACCCATTTTAAGGCATGGAACCTTTAGTAAAAAGTTCAATACCTAAGATCTTTCGCCGTCGAAATAAAAAGCGAAGAACTACGACGACGACGTGCATAAACAAGAAAGGCAAACATCCATACTTTAGTTTCTCCGGACGATACAACAGCATCACATTTCTGACAGCATAAAATCTCTCGTTTGATGCCTTCCCATATTTTTCTCGATTTCCCAAAAGCGAAAACAACATTGACATCCAATTCCTTCGCGTTCGCAGTCTCTCGAGGCAACGTTTTTGCCTTTGTCACCGAGCTATAGTTTCATTCTCGAGGCTGGGCCGTCCGAAATAATGCATTCCGGTATAAAGATGAAGGGAGAAAAGCCGGAGTTGTTAGATGGGTTCTCTTCCTTCCATACACTCGAAGACATTTTTTTCTTCTTCTTCTTCCTTCGAGAACCGAAATTCAATTCGGCAACCGATTCAATGGATTTCCAATTCTTTGTCGGGCTCCCTAGCGGAGACGGGCCGCCCGGCGAAGAGTCCCTTCCACGTGGCAGTATGTGGAAGTGGGAAGACAGAATGGGGCGCCCGCGAAAGGGCGCGGTCGCCGACCTGAAGGCTCGTTTCCCTTGCAGAGGGCGTTCGGCAATTGTTCGCCAGATCGTCGCCCCCAATACTCGTGCTTGCGCTGGCGTAACTAGCGCTCGCCCCGACCGGCATGCCCTCGCAGTGTGAAGAAGGAAAAACGTGGAGGCGGAGCGGACTAGTTGTAATTGGCCTGATTAGTGTCGGAGCAGTTCCTTCTTGTCGATCGGCTGACTAGTCTGTAATTTAGGGCGCACACATTTTCTGAGCGCGCAAACTAGACGAACTTTTATTTTCAGAGACGGTCAAATTTCGATAATTCTGAATATGAAAACATATCAATTTGTAATTTTAGATCACATCAGATATCGTGGTTTATTTCCATACCTTTCTGAATTGTAACTACCAGGCAACTAGTACAGAAGTCTGGTTTGCCTTTTCCAGGGCTGCCCGCAGTGTGCGCGCAAGATCGTCGCCCTCATTCCTCGTGCGAATGCTGCAGTTTCCGCCCTTCCGCGCACTCTAGAAGTTTAAAGGAAGAAATACGAGCAGGCGGGTTGTAACAACAAGTAACACTTGCCCGACGAGTTTCAAACATTGCCGAAATACTATCTAAGGCAATTTTTTTTCCAACAGATAAAAAGTACAATCTTTTCACTCGTTATCTTGTGAACCGTGATTGCGCTGTAATCAAGACAAGTCATTTTAAATGAACGATTGTACTTGTCGATAATTGCAACAACAAATAATTGCAACAAAGGACAGAAAACAACTAAACTATTACCTTTCATTAAACAAATCTTAAGTTAAGCACTGGCCTATTCATAGCACATCGTAAATAACATCAATTAAATTGTACATAGTCTTAGAAGAAAATTTATGGAAGGGAGAATTTCTATATCATGTAAAGAATGCTTAATCTACTAACAGCGTGGAGCATATAAAAATCAGCAGAATTAACAGCAGGATATATTGTAATGAATGTACTATAATGTACGTTAGGGATAGGTGGAACTAGAGGAAGATGTATTCTTCAACAGGCATAACCAATGCAGGACATGACAATGAAGGGTCAGTCAATTGTGTTTTTTGACCAGCATACGGAACGTCCCTTGAAAATCAGAGTCCTCTTCCTTACCGACACCACTGCTGGTCTGTTCTTCGTTCTTCTCGTTTCCGAGCGCATTTCGTTAGCGGAAGCGAAGTTCTCTAGCGGCCTATTAAAGAGGTCACCATTCGACCTTGGCTTAAATAGGCCCTTACGCCGGGGGACCTCGTTCTCTTGCGGCTGCCCCTATCGTATTCACGGTCGAGACGGCTCTTGGAGTTCAAGTTGGTAACTGACACTGAAAGGCTCGGTTAAATGCTGTTTGCTTCTCAGAGGAAGTCGACGAAGGGAATAAAGAAAGAAAACAAGAAAACTTGAAAAGATTTAGAGAATAAAACAATTTAACGCATATATAGCTCGTTCATAGAGAGTACCACACTCTATGGGGCAGAAGTCTGGACACTATCAAATAAATTGAAAGATAAATTTCAATCAACAGAAATGATGTTCTGGCGAAATGTTGTAAACTTTCTCTGTTAGATAAAATAAGAAATGATGAAATAAGAAATAAAATGAAAGTGCAAACAACCTTGAACGATACAATCGAAATGAGACAACTAAAATGGTAGGACATATGAGAAGGTTGAAATCGGATAGACTTCCTCAAAAAGTTTGGGAGTGGATACCAAATCGAAGAAAATACAGGGGAAGACGAGAAGAACATGGAACTGGCAAATAAATGAAGCCATGGAAAAAGAGAAATGGAAGAAAACGATGTATGGGATAAAGAGGCATGGAAATTGGGATGCGGAAAACGGCCAAGGCTGTAAAAAACTGCTAAATAGATAGATAGAAAACAATTTAATAAAGTAATAAACAAGTGGAGAACATAGAAACTATATCAAACACGATTGTGTACGCTTTATAACAACTTCAAAACGTCCGTAGATGCAGTCGAAGATAACAACACAACATAACATATAACATACAACATATAATATATAGCAACAAAAATAAGCATTTGTTCTTAATGAGCTGGAGTAAATAAATCTGTACTCTTGATAGGAGGATCTTTGGATCTACCTGCAGTGTGTGTGCCCTGTGACCCATTCCTGTTTCCCTTTGTGGCGGCTTCCGGCTTCTACCGCTTAACGACTGCTCCGCGTCGACCTTTCAGAAACATTTGAAAGCCCCGTCGAGGCGATGTTTTGGCAGCTTTTCAGGAGTCCCAGGCGATCTTCTAATGACCTATTTCTTTAATGGCGTCGGTCGGAAGTGAGCGTCTTTCGTGACTTTTATTGTGGCTTCAACTATTTTGAGGAGACACGATACGGGAATGATGAGCTTCACGATAGCGTTATCAATCACTCCATTGTCCATTTTACACAGAATGTACTTATAAGCACATTATTCTTGAACTTCAAAAACAATTACGACTTCAGAAGTAAATTCTGCACACGAAGGGGAAAGCGATTTTACTTCGGATTTACGTATCCTTGTCATCAAGACGCTGTTTTTTTTAATAATTAGCTTTCTCTACAAGGTTAGATTTAAAACAGTTTGTTACTGCTTTGAAGATATTTATATCTCATTACTGTGAACGATTTTTTCTTCTGAGTCTTCCATAAAGGTGGAAAATTTCAGTTCAAAAAAAGTAATTAATGAGAAGAGTTTCTTTCTTGTGACAATAATTAAAGTATTAAATTACTAAGAACGTGGTAACCAGATTATTCTTACAGCTACTAGAAAATTCGACGCACATACTTCACCGAAAAACAAAAAAGAACGACATAAGATTATTACTTTATCATGTGTTTTCTTCAAATTGTAAGCAAACTGTAAGCCAAAGACACATGTCTATTCTAAATAAAAGGTAAGCATAAAAATATACACTGTGTGTTAACAGATGTTAAGGGGTTACAATGAAAAAAACATTGAAATTACAGATCACTGAATCAGCGCAAAAGATCAGGAAATTCATTAGAACTAAAACAAACCAGTAATACTAATGAGATTGCATTGGATAAACTTCTTTGTGTGATGGGTAGCTTTTCAGGAACAACGGGATGTACATACCTTGAAGATGAAATAGAGCCTCCCACTAAAGCAGAAAACCAGCAGCTAATCTGAAAGAAAACAAAATAAAATATGTAAGTACATTTGTATTGAGTGTGTGTACACATCCACAACACCATGTTACTCCAAAAATACGTCGAATATCTATCTATTATCCCCATTCCAAACTCATGGCTTTTTCTAAGCTGAGAGCTATTAAGAAAAAAACCTTAGAAGAAAGCGGGCAAGGCATAAATGAAACCACTGAAAGGAAAATTGTGAACGAAAAAAATCCACAATAACATTTCTAAATGTATGTCACTCCAATGCATTAAACTTGTAGTCCATTTTACTTTCATTCCCGCTTTTGGAAGAGGTGTAATTGACGGATACAGTATATCAAGCAGTACATAAATATCAAAAATGTATTAAAATGCGACAAAGATGAAAGATTCTAAGGTTTTTAGTTTCGGCATTTTGAGGCATCAACCTACCATGTTATCGAATCTACATACAAATATTCCAAACTCGTTTCAATTAGACCTGACATTCATTGAAGACTCATTGGTAACTTTTTGATATACGATACCCAGAATATCATCACTACTTTTCGTATGCAATATTCTAAATTCTACATTCCTTAAAACAGAGTAAAGAGGCGTGGCGCTTTTCACCGACAAAACGCATCCAAACATCGCTCCAATACTCGTGACCCTTCTTTCAGAGGGCGCTTCGCCAACCGAACGGGCGGGCGCCTTTCCGACTGCCTTGCCGACTTGTTTCGACAGGGTCGAGAGGTGGGGGCGGGGGGGGGCGTGGTCGACGAGTGCGAACGGCGAGAGGCCGCAATCGCAACTGCGCAGCCGGCGGCAAAGCGGGGAGAGGAGGGGAGGGGAAGGGGGGAGGGGAGAGGGAGAGGAGGGGAGGGAGAGAGGGAGTGGGGGCGGCGCTAAATTGGCCTTCCGCGGAGCAGACGTACGGCGCGGGCGCGGCGCCAACCCGCTGCTCAGCCTCCCGCTGACACGAAGAGCGCGGCGAGCGAGGCAGACGGGTCGCGAACTGCTATGTAGTAGCGATTGGGTTGTGCGTTTGAAGCGAAACACTACAAAGAAAGTCACGTGGAGTTGTAAATAATGCTGTTCCGGAAAGCGGAGGTGGTTAAGGCCCATTACTTACCACGTTTAATGGATTGCGAGATCAACAATCTCCTCTTTAAAAAAATGATGGGGTGTAAGTGCACATGTACCAAGAGACTCATATCAGTTAAACAATCAGAAATAACTATGACAATTTATTACACTTCTGTATATTCTGTGTGACAGGCATTTTTCTTCTTCAATAAATTTTAACGCTACTTAATCAATTCCTCCCACCTTTACATACTTTCTCGTGGATAAGTCCACCTTCTCCATAATTTTGGCCTGTAATGAGGTGGATACCTTAGCAACGATTTATTCATTTAAAATAATAATTGTAATAAATTTCTTACATCAACATTATGAGACTTTTGGCTCAGTTGTTATTGAAAGCACGCTGTAAGTGCATAATTATGACATCGTAATGGAAGCTTACAGAAACTCATATTTTGAAGAAGAGGCCTGATTTGATTGACACAAAAATAATACACAAAAGAGACAAAGCAATAAGACATTTGAATGCGAACAATAATAACGAATAACATTCACGAAGATAATAATGAAGAAAGCCGAAAGAATGAATACAGGAAACATAGTAAAAATGGGAAGAAAGTTAAGAATTGAAAAGTGTGAAAATGAGTCACATAAAAGAAAAACTAAATAATGAAGACTTTAATTGGAGAACAAAGATTAGCAATAACACGGCTTTGAGGATAATTCTAGAATGTTCACAAAAATATGTGAATAAAGGAGGATATAATACAAGGGCAAGAGACCAAACTTAATAAAGGACAAGTCTTGAACATTTGAATATCAAAAGCAAAAAGATTTGAGAACTTCAAAGAAACTCATCCGAAACAAACTACGAACTTGAAAGATGGAGAAATAAACTTTCTTTGAAAGTGTGTACAAAGTAAATTAAAACAAAATAACGAGAACGAAAGTGGAAATGCTTTTTTATATGTTGTTGCTTTGCCTTAATTTCCAATACTACCAAAATGTCCATGACAGTAATCGCACAATTCTTCGAACTTCATTTATGAAAACCATGTTTTTCGCCACGTCAAAACTCTAACCCTAGCCCCTCCCGCATAACGATGCTGCAGACTGCTGCAACTGTGTCACCGCTGAGCAACCGCAGTCGGTGGGTGTTACTGGTTGTTGTTACGGTGCGGCGTCAACATCTTTGGCCAGAGTCGGCCCGAAGTCTAGCCCACAGAGCGTCGGCCCATCGCCGTCGCAAACTTTTAATTACGCCATTCCAAAAACAAACGGCGGGGATCGCCGCCTTCACGCTGCCCGCGAGAGAGGAATCCGGCAAAAACGCGCGTCGCCGCTCGCTTTTTAGCCTCCCCCACCCCACCGGGGTGGAGCCATCGGCCGAGAGGAGTTGCGAGTTGCGAGGACGGTTTGTTCCGCTGGCCAACAACGGGAAGATTGTCCAGTAACTTCCTGAGGAGGACTTGCGCCGTGATTAACAGATGCATATTCCTGTGGCTCCCGAAATACTCTCCGGCGTCGAAGAAATAGCATAGAATTCTTGGCAATTTAGTCTCCATACGAGAGAGTATTTTTAAGAAAATAAAAAAGCATCACGTGTGGATATAATTTTTATTTTCAGGTGTCTTCTCATTACCTACTCCAATCTTACTGCAGCAATTGTGTTTTTGTTTCTTTTCCAGTACGTAATTGTACTCAGAAGGTTTTTTAATCAGTGCGGGAAAGCATTTTCAATCATTATGTAACTATGAAATATCACAAAGATTTTCTTCTGTTCTTACATTTTTCGAATTCAGTAGGTCAAGTCTTCTCGGAAAAATGAATTTTTTTTCAATTATATTTCTCTACTTTGAAAAAAAAAGAAACTCTTGCTAATTTGAAACCTCAAACAATTATCATAAAAGTTTGCCATCACGTTTTCACAAAAAAATACATTAAACTTTAACAAAAAATACGAGGTCAGTATGAGTATTTGTTTAAATAGGTCTAACAAGATACTGACTCACTTGTGAATCACTCACGGCGGTGAGACACAAGCCAGGGAAAGGCAAGGGCCTTCACTGTCCTTGTTGACAACGCTTTTCTTTGGTGTTTCCTCCGGCCCACTACTCTCAATGACTGCCTTTGCTTCTACAAGTAGTTGGAAGTTCTAATGGAAGACTTCCAAACGTAAACATCTACATTCCCTGAACCTTTTCACACAAACTCTTCAATACCAACAGCAATCCTTCGTGTACTTGTACTCAATTGTCAGAAGGTCGAAATGCAACTTCGTGAACTACATTTCTCTAAAGTTCAAGTTCACTAAAATTGAGTCTTAAACAACGGATAAATTCTAACTTTTGGAAATCATTCAACTACATTAAGAAGGTCAACCACCATAAATTTTTCACGAGTTTGTTTTTAGTCGACACATTTTTTAAAACCACATTCTAACAAATTTACATATTCAAGTAATTTATTTCTATTTTACTATTCAAGTATTTTCCCTATGCAAAATGTCGAAGGAATCAAGTCAGAGAAACGTGCGTCAATCAGTACTTGTTCATTCACGTAAATTTTTAAATGATAGGACTTACATTGATAAAATTCAAATTTCTTTTCAACAATTGTATATTTATATATTTTATACGATAATTACCTAAATATAACCACTCGCGAGATTACAACAATGAACAATAAAATGTAATTGATAAAAGTCACAATTTGACTAGTTGACTTTGTAACAGCAGATTCCAAAACTGCCATTACTACATTACTTCTTGGATACCTTAGCATTTATTTCAGTTTCACAGTTTAATTCATTATTTTCTACGAGTTGGGTCGCATTATAAAATTACATTTTCCCCGTCGCTAATACGACCAATTAATTTCAAATAATGATTTGAATTATCAGCTTATTTTTGATGCGAATTAAGTATTTGCTTGGTATGAATATTAATTAAAACACATCTCATTATATCGGCAGAGATAAATTGAATCATTATTATATCTATCGGTCTACTAATATAAAATATGTGGTTTTCTGAATTAAAATGTGATGTTTAATAAATGACATAAATTGTATTAAAAGCAGTGCGTTAGAAGGTTGTATTTAAAATCTTGCAACAATTTTAAATAAAAATGCTTCAACCCAAATTTTAAATATACTGTGCTTCCTTACATTATAAAATATAGCATTCTAAACATAGCTTGATAAAAATATGGGGTCATAGACGTTGTAGCTGAGAGTAAGAAATAAGAACTTGTAACGTGTGGTGGAGAGATTTCTTTGATTTATTGTATTTGTTGCTCCTTCCAGCGCCTTACATTTCAACTGCAACTCAAACTGCAACTCCAGTGCAAAATGTACTTGCACACTTAGTTTTAATCTAACAAAGAAGTAAGTTTTTAGTTCACAACTGTAACAAAATACAATACTTTAGTATATTTATTCATATTAACATGCACTATAAGATAAAGATGATTAGATACGCGCTAATTAATGGATCTGAAAATGTTTACATAAACACCGTATGCTCTAATATCCAGATTGAAAAATTGTAAGTAGAAATAACGCAATGAATTCAAGATGAATTCAATGATTAGTAAGTGGATAATTGCATTAGATTAGAATATGTCAGGTGATTTCAGGTGCATTATTCTAATGAATCATCACAAGCATTTCCTGACCCAATACTACAAAAGAGATTATTAAAAGGATTAGAGTATCGTGCGTACGAAGTTATTGAATAGAGTAGCAGTGGCGGAGCGTGTTTAGCCGCAATCACCCTCCCTTTGTTAAAGGATTTGAATTGATTGAACGTTGCCTTCCATCAACAGTATTGAAATGTAAGCATCCGTGAAAATAATCATAATTAATTTTTAATAAAATAGATATTTCCCCCTAGAAGAATAACCTTTCTCTTCATAAAGATGCATCATCATTTGTGTTA